GATACTGGAATATATATATATATATATATATATATATATATATAGTGAGAGAGAGAGAGAGAGAGAGAGAGAGAGATAGGAACTTAAATAGATAGACAAGAACATGAATGAAGAGAAAAGGAACATCTCAGCCGACGAGTTTCCTTCTCTGAGGGACTTTATCAAGGACCACATTTGCATGCATACTGAGATAGATAGATAGATAGATAGATAGATAGATAGATAGATAGATAGATATGTTGTTACAAATCTAATTCCTCCTGTCGATAGAAGTAGATGTTTGTATTATGACAGTAGAAGTTAAAACTTTCAGTCTGTGCCCGATAATTTGAGGGCATTGTCAAAATAATAACTGATATTAATAATATGGCAAAATGACATCTGATATGAAAACGTGTACGAAGGAGAAGTGTGCTATTGAATTCTATTACGTAAGAAAATAATCAATCACTGATATCCAGTGACCATTGCTACCCCTTTATGGGGACCAATTGGTATAGTTAAATGAGTTTCAGAAATTGAGATAACATCATAGCTCTGTAACCGATGCAATGTAGACTGTTGGTGCAAAAGAGGGTTTTGTAGAAAAAAAAACACGTTCTTACGATGCCCCAATTATTTATTATAATGAAATATACGGAAGACATTATGTTTGCAGTATAGATATTACAGTGAGAAAAGATTTTAATGTTATATGCAGCTATCCTGTAGAAGGAAACCTTTTATTATTATCCAACATCTCATCCCATGCAACGGTAATTAGGTATTTTCTGTCCTTTGTGTCGACATTTGCAATTGTTCAATATATCGTAGTGAGGTGTTAGCAATGAACGTATTTTTATCCAACTGATACTGTAAAATTCTCGTTACTTGAACTATTTTCTATTATTCATCATTCACAACGTTTTCGACATTATTCAACCAATCGACCTCTACGCAGAGAGAAAAGAAATAACAGGCGGTGATATTAAAATAGTATTGAAAAGCAACTTTCATTTAACACCTTTTCATTAAAGCTGTCAATGCCAAGCGGTGTATATTTGGAGATTTTAAATCCAATGTCAAATCGTCTCAGTATTTCATTATCAAGGCGTGATTGTGCGGCTTTTTGATATTTTTGTCTTATCCTTAAAGAGAGGAATTGCCAACGTGCTCGATTTATTCGAACAATTGTTTTCGTCTTTGATTCTTATGGACATTATTATAGATTTGCGTTTCGACCAAATCCTTGATCAGTCATGGAAATTAATATAATCTGATTTAGCAGGAACGAACCAAAAACGTGTATTCAGAGACAAAAATAACACAGTAATAAACACGGGCAGGATATTCGACATCAACCAAAATAATGGCCGAAACGCAGTGTCTAGGTTAACAGCTATAACAATCAAAGAAGAGAACAATCGCTCGAATAAATCGATTAAGTGCATTAACAAATCCTAACGTCAAAATTCAAACAATATTACCAAAGTATAAACTAAATTTTGGAGGAATTCCCAGCCGAACTACAGAAGATGAATTGCATTAAACAATCGAAAAATAGGCTAATTCAATCCGATGAAACACATAACCATAGAGGACACGTATACATAATTATACGATGCATCGATATTTTCAAAAGGATTCTAGAGAAATATATGCGTATACATATATATGACACATATACATCTTAGTACAATATATAGCAATATTGGACCAACCAATACTAGAAAACATAATTAATAATAATGTCCAATAGTTGTCACTGATATTGTATTAGAATTTAAGTATATGTTTCAGAATGAGCTTAAGAAATGAAGGTATTTACACCCATTAATCATTGGATGTTGTGTAAAAGTACAGTCTTCAATGTAGTGACAACTATTATAAACAAGGACCACAAAGAAGCAAGTGCTGAAGAATACCAAAGATAGAGTTCTAGAGCACAATAAATTAGATTTGGTCTGTTGGAAAAAAAAAGGAAAAACAAATTGCAACCTGATAAAAATCTCTTGTCCATTTTGACATGAAAATTGAAAACTAAGAAAAAATCAACAACGACAATGATTTAAAGCATGAGATTTTCGAAGACTATGAAAGAAAGTTATTACAGTTCCAATAACCATTGAAGCATTGGCGTATTGTATAGTAAACATGGAAAATCCTTGCAGATATTGTATTGTAATTTGGAAATAGAAAGATAGCACAAAGAATTCTTGCTCGGAAGAGCAAGGGTTCGTCGAATATTGGAAACAGCATGTCGTAAAAAGAACAAATGACCGATTTATCTTCTTCAGTCTAAAATTTCTTACCAGCAACCAATATCATATGCAGCGAGGAAACGAAATAATAAGACACGCAGAGGAGGCAGCCAAGTAGATGTGGGATTCCCATCTAGATAACTGAGAACGACCTCAACGGGCTGGGTTATACGACCTGAAGTATTTCTTACTGAGGCCCACCTGTAAGTTCATATGTTATTTTCTTCAAAACCTCACACCATGTCGTGTACATATGAATGTGATGCATTATTTGCTATCTACTTATCAGGCAGTTATATGATACTTCGTATATTCTTATATGGTGTTTCGTATATTTTTATATGGTACCACGTATGTTTTTACTCCAGTTTCACTTTGTTAGCGTGGCTTTCATTCATCAATCTTCTTAGCGATGTTCATAGTCATGGAACGAGACGACAGCCTTGATGTATTAAATCATTCCACATGTTCGTGCCCAATTAGAAAATTAATAACAAAATTTTGCATACGGATAAAAAAAACCGTTTACTAGTAAAGTATATAGTCTTCATTGTTTTTAACAAATGTCTCGCATCGTTCTACAAGCCTGTGGATGCCATTTTAACAGAAAATAGAGTCATTGTTTTTTTTTGTTTTTTTTTTGTTGGAAGAAGGTTTTGTGATGGCTTCCGACTGACTGTACAAAGACATTTTTTATCATTTAAATTCTCCTCTAGAGAACGGAACAAATGAAAATCCGAAGTTGCCAAGTTAGGGGAATACGGTGTATGCTGGAGGGTTTCCGATTTCAATTCTTTAAGATTCTGCAAAAGTTTTTTTTGGAAGATGTGATCTTATGTTGGCGTGGTGAACAATGTCTCATTTTCGATTTGCCAAATTCGGACGTTTTTTCTTGAATTCGAGTCAAATGGCGAATGGCAGTTGAAATATCGATTTTCAAATTCTTGCAATCTCCTCCGTCGAATTATTTCGTTTAAGGCAAGCAGAACATCTTCAACGATGTCTGAAGGTCTTCCAGAGAGTGGCTGATCGTTTAAGATAAAAATCACCCTGAAAAAAAATCTGCCACATTTGACCGTCTTAAATCTGCATCTCGGTCCAAATAAACATTCCGAATGTTTCCGTCACAGTTCCGACGCTTACTCCTTTCCAAAATTTATAGACTATAATGGTGTAGCTTTTCATCCTTCATCTTTAAGGCATTCATTTGTGAAAATCAAGCACGACATTTTGCCATGATATGATGTGTAAGTGATAGGATATAAAATTTAGTATATCATATATTTTTATTTTTTCTTCTTGTTGTTCTTCATGTACACAATCTGATTCCACCTTTGATGCTAACTGATTAAAGGTGTGACGAACTTTCAGGGAGAACATTTTTTTGTTTATTTAATTGTTTTTATTTCCAATTTCTTCGAAAGGTTTTACTCTATCTTGTACTCACAGTCTCTCTTTAACTGTAAGAGTGATGTTTTCGGTGAATTCTCTTCTAATCTATTAAGCAGATCCCGACCCCCTTATTGGGTTTAAGATTAATTGATTGACTGATTCCCTTTCTACGGCTTGTCAACCTTTTTCATATTTTTTAACACTGGATGTTTCGTGAAAATGGGGAAATAAACATTATCTGGACAATATATATATATAAAGCCAGTAAATATTTTTCTATTTTAAGATTCTTTTTTGGAAGATAATAATGGTTTAGTGATACAAGTCTTACTATTACTAATTAACCCATTGCTGGAGGGAGAAGAGGTGAATTCACAATTCTCCTAATGATAGTTGTGCGTAAGTCCATACAACGAACAAGACGTCTCCTCCATTGACAATTCCGAGCCATTATCTATTATTCCACCAGCATATCCAAGCTTACAGCACGTAGTATTTCCAAAATGTCACCGATTTAGATACTGACCAAACTCGACGTTCTTTTACAGGAACCGATGTTCCACTGTGATGTGGACTGGGGATTAAGAAAAGGAAATTGCTACTGATAAGGAAGTTTAATTTTCCCCTCGTTTATACTTAACTAATACTAGATTAAACAGCTAAATTGAAACTTAATTATGTAATCAGTGTATTGCTTAGCAACATGTAAATATATTACCTAACGATGAGCTTTAACTCGAGTGATGTACTTGAATTTTATGTGCGCTATTAAAATGTTAAATTCCTCAAAGTTCAACCCCTTGCTCTACCTACATCGAGGTTTAGTAATTGTTCCCTGGTCTGGAAACTGTACTAAGCTTTGTACGGTTACCTTTCTAGAGTGGATGCCTCTATAAAAATGTTCAGCTTCTTGTGTTTTGAACTGGTTGATAGAAGCTCGGTTCGAAAATCACCCTGCTGGCAATTCTTCCACGTCTATAGAACGAGACTAAAAGATTTTCCCGTGTTTCATGTTTAAGACGTGGTTTTATATATCCTTCTTCCAAGGATTTAATCAATTTCTTAACTCTTTTGTGATATGACTAATTGTTGATTACGATTTTTCATTCTACAGGTATTGGGTTGTCAGTGTTCTGTTTGCTGCAACCCGTCTGGTAGCAAATAACACTAATTCTTTGTTAGCGTTTAGAAAAACTGTTCAGTCGCATATTATCGGCGTATTTGCAGCACCATATTGCATAAGGATAGGTGTCCCTGTATGTACTTCCGATTGGGTAACCCTAAAGACATATTACACTTTATTATTAACCTGCTTCCGACCTGCCTGTATTATCTTATATATATAATATCTGATATATTTTTCATCTTATGACTACAAAAAGAACAATCAGCAATATCTCTATCTATAAAAGGCAGAATGTGTTTGTGTGTGTGTATGTGTGTGTGTGTGTGTGTGTGTGTGTAACGAATGCACGACAGACATTTTCAACGGATTTGCACCAAAATTTACATGCACATGCTCCAAGTTAGCCAAGACCGACTTTGCATTTCCCAACTCCCATCGATAGTGGAAATAATCGATTTTTCATGCTTCTACGGCAGTTTTCATGTAGTTTGCGGCTATTTTCTACTGGCCAGAGTGAGAGCCTATAGCTGGCTGTCACGAATAGGCAGGAAGATTCTATTGGCCAGCGTGAGAGCCAACAGCTGACTGACACGAATGTTAACTAGCATGCAAAAAAATCGATAGCTGCATTCGTCACAAGTGGGAAAAATTTAAATCTGTATGGGTGTGAAAAAGTATTTGTTGTTAACATTCTTTTTTCATTCGGTTTTCTAGTTACGAGTCCTTTTTTAAAAGCTGATCGTTTTGTGTTCATTTTGTTTAGTTCTTTTTTCGTAACAGATTTAATGTTTAGTACAGAGCTTAGAAAAAATCGCAGTGTGAGGTAGGCAAGAAGTAAGGCATGTAGCAACATCAGCACGGCAAAGGGCACTCCTTTAAAGGCAAGTAAGGGCAAAAATATTTTAAGTCAAGTGATAGCGATTGCTGTATGAGTCGTACGATTTTTGAATCAAGCACGAGCAACGTCGGGCCATGCTGCTAGTATCACCTAAGTTCCTCAAAATTTATTTCTCCAATATTCGGACTACGCGTACCAATTTCTGTAATGTTAAATGTCTTCTTGCGAAATGTTTTCCAGATATGTTAGCGCTCAGCGAAACTAATTTTAAGTTTTTCTATCTTAGCCACTGAATTCTCTATTTCAGGATATCTTCCTCTTTGTAGAATTGATTCTATTGGTTATCTGCATGGTTTTGATGTTTATATTCTGAAAATCCTCCAATGACAAGGGAATCATCTCTTTACGCTTCTTTCATGTGCGTTCGACTTTCTTTGTTGCACGTTGTTACCTACCAATTTTCCTTTATCACTATTCTTCTTCTTCTGACTGTACCATATTAGAC